GTCGTGCTGCCAAGATCTTAAGAGAAATTTGTTTTATGTGTGTTTCTGAGTGTTTTATGTGCTGCAGAACAGGAACCTGCTGTAAAACAGCAATTATGCTGAGTCAGGCTTGATTTTTAGTAATCTTTTCCTGTTAAATCAATAAATCAAATCAAATCGATATAAATGCATGTAAATACAGGTGCTTGTGCATGAGGAGAGGAAATAAGCATAATTACCACCCAATAATAACATATAAGGCCATGTTTCCTTCTCCACATACCAGGAAGTATCCATTCATGAAAATGTCAGCAAAAAGTAAAAAGAGAATAATTTCTAGAGAAGAAAATCTGTCATTTTTGCATCATCAGTCATTGTATTAAAGTACCTGCTAAAGCAAAGGAATGGGATGAAATAATTACTGCTGTTAATGCCATGCCTACACCGTACAGTCACAAAAATAAAGAAGAAATGGTTTGATATGAAAATGGCTTGCCAACAAACCAGCCATATCCATTCACACTTTGTGCAAGATGCATGCCAACTGCACTGTTGTGCAATACAAATGACTCATGCGCTCCTCCTACCCATCATGTAACCACTTTTAGCAGGTTATATTTTGAATCCGATAGAATTTGGACATTGATGGAGTGGTTTTCCTTAAGACTGAGGAAGTGGACTGCATCAGGTGAAGGTGATTTGAATCTGTATGTGTGTGCAGTTTATGGCTCCAATGGTGTTTGGAAGTCAGGCAATAGCATAAAAATCACTTAATTTGTACTTGTTCTGCAACATTGTATGAGAATTTTATGTACCTGGGTGTTAATTTGAGGAGGGCTTTGATGACCAAGGGGAATACATGAATCACTGAAGACWGTGACGCACCAGATTTCTCTCTTATCTCCATTTGAAACAGTCCCATGGCAAAAAATCCAATTGTTGTTGGGATCTGGAAATGTTTAGGGATGGGATTTGATCAGTGTGTTTGTCTGCCCAGTTGCGGTTCCAATAAAATGCATATTTGCATCAGCACATGCCATGGCAATCTAAGCAGCAACAACAACCACTCATCAGTGTCTGCAAGTAAATCAACACATTTTGTTAATCCTTGTCGGACGTGTTCTTCTTTGGTTTCTATAGCTTCAATGGTAAAGTTGGTCTGTTTTACTCGTTCGTTCAAAAGCTGGGTCTGTGCCCTCTGTACGATCTTATTTGCCCATTGTCCACCAACAGGGCCCCAACGATACCCAACACAAACAGGGRAAAAGAGACAAAAGCAAGGGGACTTTGAACCCCACTTGCACTCACTACATACACATGACACAAAACACCAAAAATAACCACAGCCGAAGCATTCAAACCAATAAGTCAGGTGATGGGACACATGACCCTCTATGAACAATAGAGCTAATCAAGCCTATTGTTAGGCGATGACCCTCTTTTGCATATGAATAACCTGTTTGTCCACCAGGTGGAGGCGGAGCTTATAAGACTGAGTTCACCTGAAACTCATCAGACTGAAGAAGTCTCTTGGAGGAGAGATGAAATGTTTCACTAAAGAAGAACCATCCAGAGGACCTACAGATTTTTTTCTTTTTGATTTTTTTCTACCTGGATTACTGAGATGCACCAGGACATTAAAAGGTAGAGTTGTTTGATGTGCAAACACAAACATGGATGTTTATCTAGATTGTTGGGAGCAGTGATGGTTGTAAAATCTAACAGCTGATGGGAGCAATGATCTGTGGTAACGTTCTTTTCTGCATTTTGGATTCAGCAGTCTGTCACATATTTCAGATATTTCATTTAACCGACCAATAGATAAGGTATTTATTCATTATATTTTGACTAAATGTAAGAATTGTAAAAGTTTTAACAATTTTAATATAAATTTTCCACACTTCAGGGCTTAATCCTAATATTTAGTATTCTATTTATAATGCCAGTCATTTAACTTATTATTGTTGGACTTGGTTTAAATGTTCAAGAATATTTGACATTTAAAATAAAATTGTAAATGTTTCATTTGTGCAATAGAGATTTCTTTAGCCAGTTTGAATTTCTGATTACACTGAAAGTATTCTACTCTTACCTGAAAGCTAAAAAAAACCCATGGTAAAACACATTTAAATTGATTTATGTTCAATGTGTGTTTTTAAATTATGGAGCTCTTTGAAAATAGTTGCAATAAAACAGTTTTTCTTTGTGGGGATTTTAATATGGATTTGGGAAATCAAACTGCTTGATACAATATTAGTATGTTT